AAACTCCATATTATCAACATTTTTATCTTTTAACACCAAAACATCATTAAGTCCAGGCAAAACAAAGCACTGGTGAAAGAACTGAGCAAGCCACCAACTTCCGAGTCGAAAGACTTGTACTTTGACACAAAGTACCCACAGTCCACGTGGCGCCAGTTCACGTCCTGCCTCTGGAAGCAGTGGTGGACTTACTGGAGAAGCCCTCACTACAATCTCGTCCGCTTCATTTTCACGTTCGCGAGTGCCTTACTCGTCGGCACAATTTTCTGGAAAGTCGGCAAGAACAGGTCTTCGCTCGATTCTCGTCATATCAACTTTAGAAGAAAGAAACAGAGGAAAATTTAATTCCCATCTTTTTTTTTTCTTTTTTTTTTCCGGATTTTAGGGAGACAGATGGAGATCTGTTGACGATCGTGGGAGCCATGTACGCTACAGTTTTGCTCATCGGAAATACAAACAGTCACACAGTACAGCTCGTCGTCTATTTCGAGAGGACGGTTTTTTACAGGGAAAAAGCTGCCGGAATGTACTCGGCATTGCCTTATGCCTTTGCCCACGTGGCGCTTGAAATACCGTACGTGCTTTTCCAAGCCTCGTACTACACGTTGATCGTGTATGCCATGATGGGCTTCGAGTGGACCGTGGCCAAGTACTTTTATTTTTTTGCGGTTCATTTCATCTCGTTCCTCTACTTCACGTACTACGGTATGATGGCCGTGTCCCTCACGCCCAACCAAACGTTGGCATCGGTTTTTTCGTCCGCTTTTTACGCGCTCTTCAACCTCTTTTCCGGCTTTTTCATTCCAAGACCGGTGAGTTTTACAAAAGGGATAATTAATGATTCTTTTTTTTTAAAAAAAAAAAATTAATTATGTTTTTTTTTTTAAAAAAAAAAATTAATTATGTTTTTTGGTCCTTTGGATGATATTTAGAATATCCCCATGTGGTGGAGATGGTACTGTTGGATTTCGCCGACAGCATGGACGATTTACGGTCTGATAATCGGACAATATGGAGATGTCGAGGATACGATTAGTGTTGCAGGGACTCGTGCGCGGCCGATGGTCAAAACCTACATAAAGGAACATTTTGGCTATGATCCGAATTTTGGAGGGCCTCTTCTTGCTATATTGATCGGTTTCGCGCTTTGCTTTGCTTTCACGTACGCTTATTGTATCAAGATTCTCAACTTCCAGAAGAAATAGTAGCTGGAAGAACCAGATAGAGTTTCGAAAAATGTCATATATATCGAAAAAAAAAGTGTTTTATATTATTACCTGGTTTTCCGAACCACATTACTGGCAAATTAATCTTCAGTAAATTCTTCTAGTCGCTCTGCGTTTTGAATTAAGTTCCAAATACCTTTGAGCACGTTGTTGTTGTTGTTTTTTTTTAATTAAAGGAGAGTTCATGAGGCCAATTAATATGTTATTAGAAAAGCACAAAACAACTTAAAGTGAGATTCAAATTGCAAAACAGGTCAAACTGAACTCTTTGTTAGTAGCAGAAATTGTTCACTAAGGGGGAAGTACAATGATTTAGTCCCATATTATTTTTTTATTTTTTTGATGAATTTTAATACAAAGTGGACCGGAAAAACGGGACAGTCAGCGGGAGAATTGATCGGCCATCTGAGTGCATGTGTGTGCATGAAGGATACTAGATGTCAGACGCGACTGGACTTAACGAAACTAAATACAAAAGAAGACAAAAAATGACAAACAAGTAAACAACTAATAAACAAATAGAATAACACATCCCCAAATCCTAGATGAACCACACGGCCACTTAAACCGATAACTGAGTCACACACCACAACAACAAACCCCAACATAGTAACAAAACTAGACCCCAAACTCAAAAACTGCGGTCAATCAAAATGCCTAGTCGGATCAAGCAAGGAGGCCGTTCTCGATCCATATCTAGACTATGAGGAACATCGGCGTCGGGGAAAGGAAGGGGAGCCGAGAAGAACACAACGAGGGGCAGCCAGCTTTTTTTTTTTTTCGAAAGAGAAGAGTGTTTTTTAGAGAGTGAGAGACAAAATTTTAATGTCAATTTTTAGTTAATGTAGATTCGGACTCTAACATTTGTAAAATTATAAAAGATTTGATTAATTTAAATTGTAAGTATATTAAAAAATAAAAATTTTTATATTTGTTATCTGTTTTTTATATATAATATATAAAATTAATATCTGTTGTCGACGTTCTTCGATTTGATATCTATATTGCAGATATAGAATAAATGAATAGTTTTATTTTTCTTTATTATAAAATTAAATCTTCTATTAATACTAATTAAAAACTAATAAAATGGTATATCTAATGCCCACCGGAGAAATCATTTTTGGTGGAGAAATTATGCATTTTTTGGAACTTGGTTAGAACCTCTAATAGGTCAAAATTTCAATTAAAACGGTTATATATAAATTTGTTACATATCAATTAGAAAAAAAAAATAGAAGAAATCGAAGAATAGAAGAAAAAAATGCAGAAATTTTCTCTGTATATACTCTGTTCAGATCATGCATAAAGAGGGCGATAATCACTTATATACCGCACACTCATGCATGTGTACAATAGGTACAAAATGACACTGTCTTAGACTAATAAAACGTAAACACGACTAAAGGCTAATAAATAAACATACAAACAGTCCGCTAACAGAAAATAATAGAAATTGAGAAGAAATGTAAAGGGATGAGATGATATTCCCAACACAAAGCAATTAATTAAAGGTTCCCCAAAACACACTTAACATCCTAAATAGTCTTCTTCTTGACCATCCTCGCCTGAAGACCGCCTCCTTCTCTTTCCTCAATCACGTACGGCATGTAGGTCCCGAGCACCCGGTCCCACGTGATGAAGAAAGGCTGCGAGAAGTTGAACTTGTTTCCCCCCAGCTGGTGGTGCACGTCGTGGTACCCAGAGTTGTTGCTGAAGACAAACCTGAATGGGTTTCGCGGGACCCACATTCCGCAGTGGTCGTCTACGGCCTTGAGTGTGGCGAAGGAGAAAAAGAATATGGAGGCGCGTGGGGACATGCCGGAGAGGAGGAACGAGAGGGCCCCGCCACCAGTGTCGATGAGGAGGCCCTCCAGAGGGTGGTTGTAGAGAGCACCGAAGGCGTAAGGGGCCACGAGGCGGTGGTGCTGAGAGTGGACGTGCTTGTACAGGAACTGGTTGTGGTGAAGGTACCGGTGCATGAAGTACTGCCACGTGTCCATCACCACCATCGCCACCAGAAACTGCACGACAATGGCTAGTGGGGATACGTGCGTAGGGGTTTTGTTTTCGGCCGCCGGTTGGACCTATAAATGTGGT